GGATGGGAAGGGTAAACAAAGGAGGGGGCTACAATGCTTGATAAGAAATGTACTCACTATCTTGCCCATGTAATTGTAACCCCTCTGTACAGTATTTTCACAATAAAAAAAAAGAATGGAAATTTAAAAAAAAGAAAGGCACATAGTAGGAAATGATGCTTTAAATTACAAATATCTACATAATTGTGTTTCTTCCAGAATTAAAAAAACAACTGTTTAACACATTTCCTAAGAAGAAAAATTCAGTTTGAGAAAAATTAACTTGTAAAATTTTTAAATTGTACTTTCTTCATTTATCTGTGTATCATAATTCTCAAATATTCTGAGAATATGTGAAATATTCTTTAACAAAGTCTTAGTTGTAGTGATAAATAGAATAAGATTGTTGTAAATGTAAATGAATAATGATTTAGTTCTTTATGAGGATGCTACTATTTTTGTCTTATATAAATCTAATGTAAGTCCAAAAGACAACTATTTTCTTGGTACAAAAAAATCATAGCAACCTATTTTTATACATTTTTATTGTAAAAATACTGTACAGAGGGGTTATAGTTAAATGAGTAAGGTAATGATTACATTTCCTATAGAACATTGTTGCCTCCTCCTTTGTTTTTCCCCTACCATCCCTTCTTTCCCCACCTCTCCAACTACTCCCCCCACCCCCACCCCCACCCCTGCCGAAGTTCTAAAGTTCATTTTCAACATAGTGTTTTATACATCTCATTGTTAAAATGGGTCAGCCTGTATCCCTATTTAAGCATTTTGTTTTTTTCCTTCCCTTCCCTAAATTAGAAAAATATATATAAGATGCAGGGCACTGGAATCAAATACGGTGAAAACAGGGTTTATACCGTCAGAGAGGAACATACCAAAGAAACCAAAAAAAGTACTGCATTGTTGATGGGAATGTAAACTTGTTCACCACTTTGGAAAGCAGTATGGAGGTTCCTCAAAAGACTCCACATAGAGCTCCCCTATGACCCAGCAATCCCACTTTGGGGCATTTACCTAAACAATCACAAACAAGGCTATACTAAAGCTACCAGCACAACTATATTTATCGCAGCATTATTTACCATAGCTAAGATAGGGAAGCAACCCAGATGCCCCTCAGTAGATGAATGGATCGAGAGAGAGAGAGAGAGAGAGAGAGAGAGAGAGAGAGAGAGAGAGATTCTATGCCTCCATCAGAAAGAATGACATTGCCCCATTTGTTAAGAAATGGAAAGACTTGGAGAAAATTAATATTAAGTGAAGTAAGCCAGACCCAAAGAAACATAGGT